TACTATTTTACGTGCCAGAAGAAATGAAAAAAAAGTATTGTTTTCCAAATTTAAAAGAAAAGAGCGTTGCACATATAGAAAATTGTTTGAAATGTGTAGCGTTTTTAAAATTAAATTAAATCAACTAAAGGAGGTTTTTTTTAACAGTAATCCCAAAGAAAGCAGGCCATTCGAGTTAATACACATTGACCATTATGGTCCAGTAGACTCATCGAGAGCAATAAAGTATATTCTTGTGGTAGTTGACGGATTTACAAAATTTTTAAGACTCTATGCAACTAAATCAACAAGTACTAGGCAGGTATTGACGGCATTAAAAGAGGCTATGTAATGGTGATGGTGATGGACTCGACTGTTGGGACTGCTAGAAAACTTATTCCCAAACATGAAGGACCGTGATTGCAAAAGCGATGCGCAATGACAGATTTTTATTAAAAGACGTCCAAAGGATTTCAATTAGCACGTAGACCATATCTAGGGGTTTGGAGTGCGCAAGCTTAAAGACATTGAATAAAGAATAAAAAAATTAAAACAGACAACAAAAGCAGTTCCTTTCAACCTTGTGTCGCACGGACATACAACAACCCGCTACTTAAAGTGCAAAAGTGGGCCGGAGCAAATATGCAACACCCGCTTTGAATTGTGATTTATGAGAAAAATTAAGCAATAAAAACATAAATAATCAAATTCTTATCAGCTAAATTCATATACTTAATTTAAATTGTATTGCTATATCAGTAAATTTACCAAAAAAAAAGTATCTAAAAAGAAATTAAAGTGAATTATTTAAATTCTAGTGAAATCAAAGAAATTATTATGCAAGAAGCAAATCTAGTCATGCGAGCATGTTTTTAAGCCCATGGAAGTGTTTTCCTCAGTTTATATCTACCCTCAGTCAATTGAAATGATGTTTCTTAATTTATAAACAAAATTAAAGCCAATAATACAACATCTTGGAAGAGCATTCGTCGTTGGATATGGTGGGTAAGTGATCGGCTCCGGCCGTTATGCTACATGCTTTGATTGACTATACACAATAACATTTCAATAATTTTGATATTAGAAAAAAAATTCCCCCATGAATAAAATACTTGCTCAGTGGTACAAATAATTTTAACACTTGAAATTAATTTTAAAATTCCAATTTGCTTGCTTTGACTTAAATATACCCCTTCAATATGAGCATAGCGTAATCTTTAATGATCGCATTTGTTAGTATTACTTTTCTTGTATTAAACATATTATAAACATGAATTGCTTAATGTTTCCTAATGCAGGCTTGCAACAATGAAGATGACTAGGAGTTAGAAAAAAGATCACCAACCTGTGTCACGTTATGCGGCTACGGTGATCATGCTAGGGTGGGCAATGTCAGCGGCAAATAATATCCTCGCTGCTGACACCGACACACACACATCAACTGCTGCCAGTCATTCTAGGCAGCACCCTTCTTTTCAGGTATTCTCCCCCTCTTTACCCCTATCTTAGTTCTGTCCTCCTACAATTAACCTCAAAGTCAGTTTGAACGGGAATTTAAATGGGAATGTTTGTTTCTGAAAAAATCGGAAACTCACTCCCATTACCGACGAAAACGAGAGCCATATTTCGTTGCTGTTCGAATCATTCGTGATATACTACAATATATATGTTAATGTAAAAAATATTTAAATATAAAATATTTTTGAAATGGTAGTTAGTCGTCTTCACCATATTCCTCTTCGTCTTCTTCGAAATGCGGTAAGCTGTGGATGGCATTGTCCAAATGTGTTAAATTTTTTTTTACAAGTAAAATGTTTTCTAGAGTTTTCTGTTTTCGCTTAAAATAACGTCGGGGACGAAAAGGCTAGTTCTATTGTAACCTGAAATTTAATTGAAATATTAAAACCAAAGAACCAATAAAATGTTAAGTTCATACTTGTGTTGGTGGTATTGAGAAGCAAACTCTGGTCAGTTCAACAGTTTAATATGTTGCTTTTTTGGTTATATGTAGGGTTTAAAGTTTATATTTTAGAGTCCCACATCTATAGTTTCGGTGCTAGGCGCAATAGGCAAAGTTGTGTTTAAGTAGAATATAAAAGTTCCAAAATAGTATCTTGCTCGTAATTGTTGGCACTTTCGCCATATTTAGAGTTGTGCAATTTTTTTTTATACCCGTTACTCGTGGAGTAAAAGGGTATACCAGATTCGTCGGATAGTATGTAACAGGAAAATGAAAGCGTTTCCGACCCCATAAAGTATATATATTCTTGATCAGGATCACTAGCCGACTCGATCTAGCCATGTCCGTCTGTCTGTCCGTCAGTATGAACGGTGAGATCTCGGAAACTACACAAGCAAGAAAGGACTTGGCATGTAGATTCCTGAGCGCTTGATTTCAGGTGTAGATTCCGTAGCCTTGTACGCAACGCAAGTTTGACTGCGGCGCCCAAAATGTTCACTATAGTAAAATAATGTTATCTGAAATGTTTTAGTCTCGTCAATACCTATCGATTAATCCAAAAAATATTTGCCGCGCCCACTCTAACGCCCACAAATCGAATAAGTCTGTGGCGCCCACAACTTTCATGCTAGAAACGAAATTTTAACTTAAATGTCTTCGTCTCGTCAAAACCTATCGATTGACCCAAAAAAAAAAGGTTTGCCACGTCCACTTAACGCCCACAAACCGCCCAAATCTGTGGCTCCTACAATTTTCATGATGGAAACCAAATTTTAACTTAAATGTTTTAGTCTCGTCAATACCTATTGATTGACCCAAAAAAAAGTTCGCCACGCCCACTCTAACGCCCATAAGATTTTAATCTTTCTACCGCCCAAATAACCATATATGTATTAAGAACAGGGGGAGGAGACGCATTCTAATCTCGCTTTGATGCTCGCATATCTCCATCAACCTTTGGTCCCTTTAGCTAAGTAACGGGTATCTGATAGTCGAGGTACTCGACTATGGCGTTCTTCCTTGTTTAATTTGACTACTCTATGCCCTTGCAGAGGCTATAATGATTTCAGTCTGAAGTTTTCAACTCATCCGATTAAAATTTAAAATTAATTAATTTAAAATTTTATATCGGAGAAGAAAAGGTTACTGTCAACTATTATATCAAAGCTATAATTATTTTTCCATTAATATTCCTATTTTTTTATGGTTGTAAGAATTGTATTCAGAATTCTAAAATATTAAACAAATGCTATGGGAGATATACGATATAGTTGTTTAATCCGGATCGTTCCGACTTATACACTACCTGCAATATAAATATGACTTTTGAGAAGGTTTCATCTTGGTAGCTTCAAAACTGAGAGACTAGTTTGCGCAGAAACGGACTGACGGGCATGGCTAGATCGGATCGTGAAGTCATGCTGATCAAGAATATATATACTTTATGGGGTCGGAAACAACTCCTTCACTGCCTTTAAAGCTTCTTGCAGATATCATTATACCCTCTGCAAGGGTATAAAAACAACCAAGCTTTAATTATTTTCCCATTAATAATCCGATCGTTCGTTTGACAGCTATATGATATAGTCGTCCGATTTTCTAATATAACTATTAATAAAAACAAGGAAGAACGCTATTATCGAGTACCTCGACTATCAGATACCCGTTACTCAGCTAAAGGGACCAAAGGGAAATGGAGATATGCAAGCAGCAAAGCGAGATTAAAATGCGCGGTAGACAGATTTAAGCGTTATGTGCGTTAGAGTGGGCGTGGCCATTTTTTTTAAATCAATCGATAGGTGTTGACGAGGCCAATACATTTCAAATAAAATTTTTTATCAAGCATGAAAATTGTGGGCGTCACAGAATTTCGCGGTTTGTGGGCGTTAAAGTAGGCGTGGCAAACTTTTTTTTGGGTTACTCTACGAGTAACGGGTATAATAACGAAGATATAATTATTTTCCCAATAATATTCCCATCTTTCCTATGGCTGCTATATGATAAAGTCATTAGATTTCCTAAGAATTTTATTTGTAATTCTAAAATATTGAACAAATTATATTTACCGGAAAAGAAGTGAGTTTGATCAAAAGTAACGAACGTGTAATTAATTTCCTAATACTTACAATTAATCACGCGATCATTCTATGGCAGCTTTATGATATAAACGTCCGATTTTTAAAAAACATAATTTAAAATTCTGAAAAATTTAAATAATGATAACCCTAAGAGAAGAAAATAATATGTCAAAAAACACCATAATAATAATTTTTTTTACATATTTTTAAAAATAGTTTTTTGATCGTTCCAATGGAAGCTAAACGATATAGCTGTCCAATCCGGCTCGTTTAGACTTAAATACTATCTGCAATAAAAATAAGACTTTTTGAAAGGTTTCATCCCGGTAGCTTAAATCCTGAGAGACTTGTTTGCGTAAAAATATCATAAAAATCATTCAAAATATAAACAAAACTTTAAAAAAAAAAATTTTTTTGCTAGTACTATTAGTTTTGTTTAGAGAAATGTTTTGCATTAATTCATTTTCAAGTCTAGGAAAAAAGTTCAAAAAAAGATTTTTTTAAAAATACTTATTCGTACTGAATTGGTTAAGAAAAGTCTTGTATTATTTAAATGGAATTTAAATGACTTTTCCATTGATGCCAAACATGTATATTTTGTATGTATGTAAGTTCAAATTAGAAGAATAATAAACTTTGGTTTTGTGTTAATACTTTTGACCACCCCTGTATTGTTTGGTTATTCAATTTTAAAGAACGGTCCGATTTGAATAATTTACTTATTAAAATGTTTACAAAATATTAAAAAAAAGTTGGCGCTGGGCGGGTCTTAGCGTTAAGGGCGATAGTGAGCGTTAGAGTAGGCGTGGCACCCTGCTGAAAGAAACTTGCGCTGCGCAGGAATCCCAAGAATCTACATGCCAAGTCCCAACATTCTAGCTTTTATAGTTTCAGCGTTCATACGGACAGACCGACTGGCGGTCAAACGGACGGACGGAAAGACCGACATGGCTAGATCAGCTAAGTATCGTGATAAAGAACATATATACTTTATGGGGTCGGAAACACTTCCTTCTTCCTGTAACATATTTTCCGACGAATGTAGTATACCCCTTTACTCTACGAGTAACGGGTATAAAAAAGATGATGAAAAAAGATTAGACAAATAGTCTTAAGAAGCATGTGTTAAACGTACACAAGAGGAATAAAGAAGTAGAGGAAGGACGAGATGATTCCACTTTGGGAGGACTCAAGCTTGACTCCATCTTGGAGTTATTCGAGTTTCCAATCTAAATTTCGCGATCTTTAAGAGGAAGTCATTTGAAGCCGATTTTCACGAAATCCTTTTCCTTACTTTTAGCTCTTATGGTTTGGACTAGGGGACCAAGATGGAAATCGACTTTAACCTTTTTATAGAGATTACGATAAAGAACTTTTAGAGAATAGGGCATACTAATAAGTTAAGTCTAAACAAATTTATGAAATTGTGACATGATTCCAGGGCCATGAGGGAGATTCGAGCTCACTCACAGCGACAGCGGATTAGCCGGGGAACGAGGAGACCGGCGACACCCGGAATTCCATTGCCCCAGACATCTACACTTCGGTCCCGCCGGCACCTGGCCAACATGCTGATCGCATCGGCAGTGATCTTCATAGCCTGCTGGTCCCCACACGTCTTTTGCATCTTCTACAAAAACTTCGGAGGCAAGCAACAGTGCAGCCAAATCTCCGTTTACTTAAGCCTCCTGCTGGGTGAGTCAAATCCCCTGGTGCAACGGGACCAGGAGCACTCACTTACCAACGAATCTTTTTCAGGCTACTTCTACTCGGCCATCAGTCCGGTGATCTACTGGGCTCTGAACCACAATTCGCTTCGACAATCTCCCTTCGCGCCCATCATCCGCCTGCGCTCCATGCAAAACTTCCTGAGGTCCCGCTTCCGGACGTACACCGCGCCGCCACCTCCATCGTCCACCAACGAGGCAGCCTTGGGTGCCTTCAACCCCAAGCTGATCAAGCTGACTCCAAAACAGTATAGAGCTCAGGACTCTTCGCATTATTTCTACTAGTGTGATACTAAACTAATCTTTATAAACATATACCTTTATATACGCGCATACATAATATATTTTTATCTACGCCCTCCCATTCCGTCTGGTACAAAAGCTCAAACCCAACCCAACAACGAAACTATGGAACTAATTGGCATTAACTTCTGCGGTGTATATAAAATACATATATTCTATATAGAACCTAGCAGTTTTAGTTTACGCTTACACGATGTTGGGCGCCTAAGCTATACGATGAAGACAGCAAAGGGGCTGTCCATGTATTACGTAATCCTTTATTGTAAAACAACAAATTTATATACCTTTGCAGAGGGTATATTGATTTCAGTCAGAAGTTTGCAACGCAGTGAAGGAGACGTTTCCGACCCCATAAAGTATATATTCTTGATCAGCATTACTAGATGAGCCGATCTAGCCATGTCCGTCTGTACGTCTGTCCGTCCGTTTCTACGCAAACTAGTCTCTCAGTTTTAAAGCTATCGGGCTGAAACTTTCCCAAAAGTCTTATATCTTTTGCAGGTAGTATAAAAGTCGGAACCAGCCGGATCGGACAACTATATCTTACAGCTCCCATAGGAAAATTCGGAAAATAAATTTTTTTTTAACTATATCTTTGGTGTTTTTTAACATATAACCTCCTAAGCTTGGAAATAAAATTTTTTAATTAGTTTTGAATTTCGAATTAAATTTTATCAAAATCGGACACCTATATAATATAGTTGCCATAGGAACGATCGGAAAATTGGCTGGAAAATAATATGAAACAAATTATAGCTTCCGTGTTTTTTAACATATAACCTCCTACGCTTGGAAATAACACTTTTTAATTAGGTCTGAATTTCGAATTTAATTTTATCAAAATCGGACGACTATATCATATAGCTGCCATAGGAACGATCGGAAAATTGGTGGGAAAATAATATGAAACAAATTATAGCTTCGGTGTTTTCTGACATATATACTATTGGGAACATCATTTTTGTATTTTTAAATTTAACAAATATAACTGCAAGGGTATACAAGCTTCGGCTTGCCGAAGTTAACTTCCTTTCTTGTTTTTTTTTATTTGATTACATAGAAGAAGGGAGGTTTAAACAAGACAGGAAGAACTTAGGCACCCCGTTCCCGTGGGAGCATTGTATGTACACAGCTATTCGACTTGTAGAGAACTAAACTAATTCTAAAACTTTTATGTTAATGTTCCATTTCAATTTCCTACCACGTATGTTTACCGAAAACGAAATATAATGGTCCATGTATTACTTTGACGTTAAATATCCGATCGTTCCTATGGTGACTATATGATGAAGTCGTCCGATTTGATTTAAATTATTTTCGAATTCTGAAATATTAATACTAACTGTAAAAATAATTTTTCAAAAATAGTTCTGCTTATATTTTTGATGATTTTTAGTTTTATTTAATTCAAAATTCTTAAATATTTTAATAATGATAACCGAAGATATAATTAAAAACAAAATTCCCATATTTTTCGATTATTCCTGTGGGAGCCATAGGATATAGATTTCCGATATTTCTAAAATTTTATTCGAAATTCTAAAATGATATTCCGGCATAGCGTCATAATTCCGTCGACACAGTTCCGCATAGTACATTTGGTCCACAAACTTATGTCGTTATCGCGCAAAATTATGTCGTTTAAAAATTACTTGTGGCGAATTTATGTCGTTTTAAAGTGACTTAAGTCCGCCAAGGAAGAATCGACATAATTTTTGCGTTCTCAAACGTCATAAGATCGCGCGAAATTATGTCGTTTAAAAAAGGCGGAAGTATATCGGCGAAATTAAGATGTTACCCCTTATGATCATTCCTATGGGAGCTATAAGATTGGGTCCGATCCGGCTCGTTCCGACTTGAATACTACCGCAATAGAAATAAGAAGGAAGGTTTCATCCCGGTAGCTTCAAAACTTCAAAACAAAGAAAAGGACACACGGACAGACGGACACGGCTAGATTGGATCATCAGTGATGCTGACCGAAACTATGTGTACTTGGGGTCGAAAACGTCTCCTTCACTACGTTGCAAGCTTCTGACTGAAATCATTATACCCTCTGCAAGGGAATGCAAATGCTAGAATACTAATACTTCTATGTAGCATAGCAAATAGAACCCTTGAAATCTCATTTTGTTGCTTCTGTTATAAATACAAATGATTTGACTCTCGAAGCATAGCCCGATGTGATCGGCTCCGGTCACATGATTTGATTGACTATTGACCAATAATCTTGATATTATAAAAAAAATCCCCCATGACTTGCTCAGTGATTAAATTAAATTTAATACTTGAAATTAATCTTTGAATTCCAATTAGCTTGTTTTGATTTAAATATACCTCTTCAATATGAGCATAGCGTAATCTTTTTATGATACCCAACTTTGTAGCTTTAATGATCACCTTTGTTAGTATTACTTTTGTTGTAATAAATACAATTAAGAATTGCTAAATGTTTTCCAATGCAGGCTTGCATCAATGAAGATGACTAGAAGTTAGGCGTGTGTCGAAGGGATCACCAAACTGTATCAGGTTACGCACACACATCAGCTGCTGCCAGTCATTCTAGGCAGCACCCTTCTTTTCAGATATTCTCTCCATCTTTACCCCATTCTCAGTTCTGTCCCCCTACACTTAACCTCAAAGTCAGTTCGCACGCGAATTTAAATGGGAATGTTTAACATACATAAGAGAGCAAGTAGCACTTTTAAAAAATTCGGAAACTCACTCCCTTTACCGACGAAAACGAGAGCCGGAACCAGCGCGTGCCCCACTTGAAGCTACTCACCATATTTCGTTGCTGTTCGAATCATTCGTGATATACTACAATATATACGTTAATGTAAAAAATACTTAAATATAAAATATTTTTGAAATGGTAGTTAGTCGTCTTCACCATATTCCTCTTAGTCTTCTTTGAATAGCGGTCAGCTGTGGATGGCACTGTTCAAATGTGTTAAAAGTAAAAGTAAAATGTTTTCTAGAGTTTTGCGAGTCATCCGATTTCTGTTTTCGTCTAAAATTAACCTCAGGGACGAAAAGGCTAGTTCTATTGTAACCTGAAATTTAATTGAAATATTAAAACCAAGAACCAATAAAAATGTTAAGTTCATACTTGTGTTGGTGGTATGGCGAAGAAAAATCTGGTCAGCTCATATAGCTCTGGATCGCTTTGTTTTCGATGTGTCCAACGGTTTAATATGTTTCTTGTGTTTATGTAAGGCTTAAAGTTTCTATTTTAGAGTCCACATCCATAGATTCGGTGCTAAGCGCAATGGGCAAGGTTGTGTTTATGTAGGAATATAAAAGTTGCAAGCTTGTATCTTGCTCGTGATTGCTGGCATTTTTTCCATGTTTAGAGTTATGTAATGTGTTTTTTCCGGCCAAAGAGCTATTGGGACGGCTCGGAGGGCGCCGAGCTGAAGGCCCTGGTTCTCCGGGGTAGCTACGAATAAGCGTGGAAGTTGGACACGGCCCGGCTACCGCCAAGACCCCAACATTAAGCGTAAATAAGTAGCCCCGGACAGTCAGCGGGTATCTGCGCCGTAGCAGTACCGACGTCGCGCTTGTGCTGCCGCCTCCGACAAGTAGCTCACACATACCCCCTTCCAACACGTTTTGTACCTACCTCATCCCTTCCCACACAACTCATCTTACCCCGGCCTGGACTAAGGTGTCATTCGTACTGTGTCGAGAGTCAATCTGGCTGGGAGCCCGCGTCAACAAAAAACTCAGTCTGAAACGGTGAGCTCAGGCAAGTGGCGACCGCCTGGTCTAAGTCAGCCTTACCCGGGTACAGCGGATCTCTGCCCGGGTGGACCTGTCCCTTCTCCGCAGCTCGTGGTATTTAAACTCTAATACATATAAAAACGATAACAGCACCAAAAAAGAGCCCGACACTCTCAAAAAGTCGGAAGTCGTAACCAACGATGACAAAAAGAGCAAGATCACGGCTCCAAAAACCCAGCCGTATAAGCCCAACTCACCATAAAGACAAACCCAAGCCTCCCGTCAGCATAGGTCTGGCTAACCATCTACTCCAACCGCAGGGGAGCGCAAAAGCCGGTCTCGTGGTGAGTACCAGGGCAAAGGAGTTCAAGAGGACACCACCTAACCAGGCAGGACCTCTTGAACGTAAGAAAGCATTCCGTATCCTCAAACGGCTGGCCACCAACCCAATACGTGAGGATCAAGCGTCAAAATTGGATTATCAAAAAATCCAAGAAGACTTAGCCTGGGCAAAGGCGGTAATCCCAGACTTCGACATCGCTATGACCACCAGCAACAGCAACAAGCGAGAGAGGTCGATGGAGACAGCTCAACCAGCGAGCAAGAAGGCCAAGATAACCCACCGCAGCACATGGTCGAGATCCTTTGCGAAAGTAGTAAAGGATCGGAAGATCATTGGCGTCATCGACCAGAGCGATGAAAGCAGAAGGATCCCAAGGAACCAATTGGGTCTGGTTAGACGAGCCCTTGCGTCAGTGGCCTTTAAAAGTGCTGGACGAAAACCCAGGTCCGCCACCCTATTGCACAGATGCAGGGTGGTACCAGAGCAACGTTAAGTTGATCGCCTGTGAAGACGAGAGATCGGCAGCACTTTACCAGGCTGCCATTAACAAGGTCGGCGAGGTCTACACCGGGGCTAAGTTGGCAGTTTGCGACATTCAACCCGAAGCTTCCGACAGATGGTTGGAAGGTGGTTAAGGTGGAGAAAACCGAGCGCGTCACTATGAACGTGGTAATCCTCCTGAACCAGGCCTGCTTGGAACCCCTCGCAGCGCAACAAAACCGGGTGAACTACGGGTTCGATAAGGTGCAACTTCGCATCTACAACACAGACAAACTAGCGGCGGACAACCTGGCTGCCTGTGCGTCGTATGCACCCCCGAGCGACGACGAAAAGGAGCCCGAGGAGGCCACCCTTACTGGATACGTGTCAATCGATTCAGAGCTGACAGAAAGCCTGAAGCAGCTGTGCAATCAGGACAATAATAATTTACAATAACTCTAGACTGTCCTCCCACCGAGAACATTAGGCCCTTCAAATCCCCCGGCCCGGACGGGTTCTTCCCGGCCCAGCTACATCGGACACTAGATATATCCCTTCACAGCCATCTTGCTTGTAAGGTAGTACACTCTTATATTGATAAGCATGAAGAATTGTAAACTCATAATTTGGGACTGCTCGGGTGCGACAGTCGTGCATAATCTCTTGCTGTTGCTGGCTGCGCGAGCGAAATAAATACATCGAATTTGACTGCTGCTTATTTTCTTTAAACCACGGAAAATGCCCAGCTATGCCGCTAGAATGCAA